ATACTATTAGTAGTATATCCTAAAAGGATAAAAGAATAAGGAATAATATACTTATATATAACGCGATAAAGGTATATTTATATATAGCGGCTAAGGTAGTAAGTCTTAAGGGTAAGACTAAAAGGAGGGGAGGTATCTTACTACGACTATAGTCTAGTAAACCGCGAGGACTAGTATATATTATAAGGGTATATAACGTAGGAAATAAGGAATATTAAATAGACCGATAGGCTAATTAAGTTTAAAGCGATAGGTTACTCTAGCGCTTTAACGCTTTATAGCTAGGATCGTAAGATCGCTTTAGCGCTCTAGCGCTCCTAAGCTATAGGATTACCTAGTGCTCTCGGCGATCTAGGGAAGCTCTTAAGATATATAAGGAAGGAATAGAATACTCCTTTAAATAAATAGCTCGATAGCTTTTAATATTATAATTATTATAATCTCTATTATAATCTTATCTTTAATTCCGATTACTTAATTACCTAGTTATAGTCTATAGTCTATAACCTCTTACTTATTACTAACGTAATATACTTATTATTACTTAGACTACGCTTTATTATATCTATTAATATAAGCCCCTTAATAGGTTTATCCCTTAAGAATAATACTAGTCGTTATACTAAGCTAGGTCTTATTAGTAAAAGGTATATACTCTTAGTTAGTTAAGGTAAGAAAGAGTTTTCTACTTATATAAAAGAAAACCTCGCTTAATTTATAAGCTTTAGTAGTATATTATATACTTACTAATAGCTACGTAAGGCTATACTTAAGTAAGCGTAATACGCTATTTACTAAGGTTTTAAGCGTATACCTTTTCTATATTTTAAGCTTAGTTTTAAAAGGTTAGCTAAGAATATATTAAAAAGATAAATAATACTTTATAGTAGCTTAAATAGTATAAGTAGTTCCTACCCTTTCTTATTAATATAGAGTATAACCTTATAGTTTACCCTTAGCTTATATAAGTTAAGCTTATTTACTTCCTAGGACTTAAATAGTACTAAAAGGTTATAAAAGCTCTTTAGTATTTACTATAATAGCTTAGAAGGCGAATTTAGCTTCTTTAGTTAAAGGGCCTTATTAATATTTACTAAGCTAACTATATAAGCCGCTATATTAGCTACTACTTAACCTTCCTCTTACTTTAACTATTATATAGTTCTTATAAAAATAAAGGTAAGGACCTCTTATATTAAGTATAAAGCTTATACGCTTAGTTTTATACTTATAAAACTATTATTATAACGGACCTACTATTATATAAGCTTAAACTATAGCTTCTTTTAATATAGAATTAAATATAACTCTATATATAATAACTAAGGTTTCCTAAGAATTAAGGGAAACTTTAGTTAAGAGATTATATAAGCTATAATAAGCTTATAGATCTTATAAAGAGAGATATAAAAAGTATATATAAAATATATAAAGGTAAATATAAAAGTAAAGGGTTAGATAGGTAGGATAATAATATTTAATTTACTTTAAAGCTACTCTTTTTCCTTTAAGCTAAGGGGAGTAGAGTCCTTTTTATTATCTAAGGTAAGGAGTAGTTTTATCTTTACTACCTAAACCGCTATAAGCTACTTAGTAAAAAGGAAGGGGCACTTTAATATAAAGTATATAAATACGCTATAATATAAGTAAAGGCTATTAGCTTTTCTTTTTTTAATTTCTTTACTTATTACTTACTTCGATTACTACTTAAAGTATAAGGTAGTATAAGGGGTAGTTAATAGTATCTTCTTACTATATTTAGCTTAGTTTATATAAGTAGCTAATATTAAGGTATCCTTATTAATATCTATAGCTAGCTATTTATCTTATAAAGGGGTAGTAATCTTATCGCTACTATATAGTATATACTTATAAAGCTTTTAAAAATATAGTATTTATTTATAGCCTTATACTACCTTTACTAATTAGCTTATATACTTACTATAGTTAGTAAGTATAATTATAAGGATAAGTAGCTCTTATAAAGCTAATATAATAAAATTCTATAACTATATAAGCTTTACGCTATCTTTTTATATTCTAGTCTTTATTACTTATAAAAGCGTTTCTTTAAAATTAAAAAAGAAGTCGCTAAATATCTATCTATCTCTTTACTTAAGGGTTTATAGCTTATCTTATACTTTCTCCCGCTCTTATATATTACCGAATATATATATAAGGTATTAAAAGAAGTCCTATAGGTCGCGTCTACCCCTAAGGCTACCCTTATCTTAGAACCTAAAGATCTACTATATTTAAGGCTCTAGTAGTATATAAAGGAGTAAATATAATATTATATCGTAATAGCTATTTAGGCCCTATTTCTTATTAGTTATAAACTTTATCTATAGCTAGCTAAGGAAGAAGTAAAAAGACTCTAGTTTACTATCTTAAGTCGGCTAAAGGAGCGGCTTTTACGCTAGTAGTATCGCCGCTATAACTAGCGTTACGGAGGTCGTAGGGGTTAACGCCAGTCTCGTAGACGGCTCCCTTAGTATAGCGAGAACCTCGTCCTTCTAGCTAGCCGTCGCGATTTTAATCGCTTCTAAGATAGCTATAATACTACCTATCCGTCTAGGAGGGGGGGGGGGCGCTGATTACTTCCTCGAGGAAGTAGCGCCCTCTCTAGAGAGATATCTATTAGATCTATTAGTTAATAGCTTATACTATTACGGAGTAAGTAGAGGCGTATACGTAGGTGCCGTCTATAGGATAATATTAATAAGCTATATAGAGCTCTTCTATGCGCGGCTGGCCTATATATATATATATATATAGGATTCGGCCCTCCGTACGTAACTATATAGCTTAGGCCGTAGCCTAAGCCTATAACCTATAATAGTTAAAGACTCTTATAGGGAGGAACTAATAGAACCTTTTGTTACTACGTTCCTTAAGGCACTTAATCTCTATTCTTTGGTTATTTAAGTCTTAGATAAATAGATGTTCCCCGCAGAAGCCGAGAATCGGGCGGTTTATCTTAAGATAATGTCGTCGTCGACGGGGACGTCTGTCCAGTGTCTGGTTTAAAGTCTATACAGGCGATCATCGCATAACTTTCTTCGCCACGGACCAGCTATTAAGAGAGGAGTCTCCTTAGAGTTGGTTCTTTTTTTACGGCGAAGATGGCTGAGATGAAGGAACTTTACTTGCTTGGTTAGCATCAGAGCCTCAAGCGGTTGCGGATCATGTATGCCGTCTCGTAAGTCGGAATTTAAGAAAGTTTGGAAATGCCCGACATGCCTTGAAAGCGGCTCCAAGCTCGCCATCGTGACGCTTAGAGGGAGAAAAGCCGGAGGAGCTGTCGGGTGACAAGCCGTCAACTCAAGCTCGAGCCCAGACATGGTCGAAGCGAGACGGCCGTGCAAAGGTCCGACGGTCTCAGCATACCCAGAACTTTGCCATCAACGGCAGAAAAGAGCCGAGCCGGACCACGAGCGGCCATCAGCCTTTGCAAGACTGCGAGGGCCTCCACAGCTGTGGCGGTTCTGAGCTGATGGAAAATATCGCCGAGGCTCCGAAGCTCGTCGTTAACGCTTCCGCTTTTCGTGGCCTCGTACACGCAACGCAGGCAGTGCCGCGTCAGATGCACGGCGCACAGCTGGGCTGTCTTTCATCGCACTTCAAGGCCATCAAAATCAGACATACTTGCGTCCGTGTAATATTGGCGATGGGATCCAATGGCGCGATATGGCATCTACATAGATGAAGCGGGAGTAGCGCTTACACGAGTGGTCTTAACGCGACATGTCGCAGACGCCTGTGTGTTGAGTGACCTGGGGCGAACAACGTCCTTGGCTTTGTGGCTGGGCTTCAGTGTGCATGTGTCTCCTGAAGCTGGACCTACATATTATGGAGGCGGTAGGGGACGGCAGTGTCTGGATCCGGAAGGCTGACTTTTGAGGTCATCGATGGCATCGGGCATCATTTCATCCTGCGTCACGGCACATTAAGTTGAACATGAGTTCACGACACCTGGGGTGGGCGTGCTATGCGAACATAAGGCTATGCAGAAGCTTATGCCAAACTCTCAGCCCCTATCACGTGTCCGTCTTCCGGCCTGGACCCGATATATATACATATTGGGCCCGGTCTGCGCTCGAGGTGTCGGGCAGGGCAGAAGGCAGTTATTCAAGCATGAAAGGTATCGCGCTGAATGGAATATGAAAGGGTTTGTGTGAGCGCTGCGGACATTGGGAAGGGACATGCCCTGAATTCGCCAATGGCGTTGACTACGATCCTTAAGACGTTGGCTCAACTGTCTGATGGATCACGTAGTCATCGCCAAAGCGACGCATGGCCCGAATCAAGGCTGTTTTCTCGTTTAAATGCGGTCGACATTTCTCCGTGCCGTCTCATCAACCGGCCTCTGAGATGGGCAGTTGGACGAGTGAGACCAGTCATGCACCGAACATGAGCAGCCCCAGAGTTGGGATTAGGGGACTGATATTCACGTCAAGCCTTTCAGTATCGATATGCGCTCAATGAGATGCATCAAGCAAACCTGCCAGGTGCTAAAATATTGCCGTCATAGTACTTACCCCTGGACGTGCCCGTCTTGAGTTTATGACGTCGATTCGGCCACAGATCGGTCCCGAAGCACGAGCAAGACCCCTGTTTCAATATCCAGGGGTTTTGCGCCCGAAGGGTGTCTCGGAACTCGGAGGCCAGCAGTTTCCTAGCGCAGTGTCGGCATCGGCGTCGAAATTGCGAGTCCGCTCCGGTAGAAGAAGATGGCGCAGCAATGAGCCGTCGGGGCTTGAAGCATTGCTGCAGCACCGCGCTTACACTCGACTACGACGAACCCCACCTTGGATCCTTCGAGTCTCGATTTTGAGGCCCAGGGAGACGAGAGCCAGTCTTATTTCTGGGCCTCCTTGCCTTTGTTGCGCGTCCCCGGGGCCAGCCTTGGAGCTCACCCTGAGCGAAGACATCACAATTCCTCGACCGAGCTCTATAGATGCCCACCCGGTGGCGAAGCAGGACAGAAAGAAAGAAACATGGCCCCTCTGCGGATTCTCATCTCTGGCGGCGGCATCGCAGGCCCCGCGCTCGCCTTCTGGATGGCGCGCCTGGGCCACGCATGCACCGTGCTCGAACGCTTCCCCCAGCTCCGGGCCAGCGGGCAGCAAATCGACATTCGCGAGCAAGGCGTCGACACGGCCCGGCGCATGGGGCTGCTCGAGACCATCCGCAGCCACGCCGTCGACGAGGAGGGCCTGCAGTTTGTCGACGACAGGGGCTGGCGAAGGGCCCTCTTCCCACGAACGGAAGCCGGCTCCGGCAACCAGGGCTTCTCGAGCGAGTTTGAGATTATGCGCGGCGACCTGTGCCGGGTCCTTGCCGGGGCGGCGCCGGCGGCGAATAAGCCAGACTACCGGTTTGGGCTTTCGGTAGATGGCTTCGACAACGAGCGTGGCGGTGTCAGGGTCAAGCTCTCAGACGGGAGCGTCGAGCGGTACGATATGCTTGTCGGCGCCGACGGGCAGGGCTCGAGGATCCGCAAGATGATGCTAAAGGATGGCGACGGTGGCAAGGACCTGTCGAGGAGCCTGGGCGTCTACGTTGCCTACTACTCGCTGCCACGGACGCCGCAGGACCCCAGTCTCGGGACCATGTACCACGCCACGGGCAGGCGTCTGCTGGCCACGCGCTGGCACTCACCGCAGCGCGGGCAGGGCTACCTGGCGACCATGGCGCACGGCGAGGAGATGGAGCGGGCGCTCAAGCAGGATGTGGGCACGCAAAAGGACGTGTTTGCGCGCGTCTTTGGCGACGCGGGATGGCAGGCGGCGCGGCTCGTCGACGAGATGCGCCGGGCCGACGACTTTTACGCGCAGACGATTGTGCAGATCAAGTGCCGCCCGTGGTCCAGGGGCAGAGTCGTCCTGCTGGGCGACGCGGGATACTGTCCGTCGCCGCTGACGGGCATGGGGACGAGTGCGGCCCTCATCGGCGCCTACGTCCTTGCCGGCGAGCTGTCTAAGAGGGGGATCAGCAGCTCCTCACCAAGTGGACAAGGCCAAGAAGACGCCGTGGCCTCGGCCTTGGCCGCCTACGAGGAGGTGCTGCGGCCCTTTGTCGAGGAGATACAGCAGCTGCCTCGCGGTTTGCCGCGCCTCGTCTACCCCGAGACGGCGGTGGGCGTGTGGATTCTGCGCTCCGTCCTCGGCCTGATGTCGACGCTCAAGCTCAACCGGCTCTTTGAGTCGAGTCTCATGCAGCGCAACGGGTGGAAGTTGCCCGACTACCCACAGTTAAGGGGCTCAGAGCCTCAGACCAGACGGTTGTTGACTGAGTGAATGGAGTCACGACAAGGATCACTCTCCAGCGCTGTGAATGAAGAGAAGCCCTTTGAATTATTCACGGAGCTTTGAGCGTGAATTGACTGCGAAATATCTTGCCATGGCTGAGTTGCCGACTTGTCTCGGACCAACAGCTGGTGACAGGCTGACAGCAAGGGCTGACCTTTGCCTTGGTGAGGCCATGAACCGAGGAATTCCAATTAATGCTCTCAGCCAACTTCGTACAAGACTCGGGAAATAGCCCGTGGCCATCAAACTATCGGTAAGATGGTTGCAGACAGCCGCATTAAATTGCCTTCCCCGTTCATCAATCCCCATCCATGCCGCTCCCGGCCGGCCAACCTCTTGACCAATAGCCTTGACACGAGGACTGACGCTTGCAATCACCGCCTAGCCATAACAAGTCTTAGCACAGTCCGCCAAGCCTGTAATCATTTGTGTTGTACGATATCGGTCGGCTTGGCACTAACACAGCCCGGCTCGCGTGCAACGACTTCCAACGGCTGCGTCTTGGCTCGTAGCTTGTCATCCCCGGCTCGCCATAATCGCATCCCTGTCGTATCAGGCAATTACCCGTCAACTTTATCCAGTTTAAGATTTGGAGCCGGGTCCGCCGCGGCTACCTGAGGCCCGGGACCCCCGGCCTGCCCCCCGGCCCGTATGTTTTCTTCGACTTGATAACAAGAAGAAAGGGCGTGAAGACTTCTCCCGTAAGCCCTGGTCCGAGTCGAGTCTGTAAGCTCCAGGCATAGGCTCCAGGCATAGGCGAGCATGCGTCCCTCAGCAGCACTTCTCACGGCGGCCGCCCTGTTCGGCGGCATCGCCACGTCCGAGGTGCCCTACTCGCGCCGCATGCTGGACAGCATCAAGCAGCGCCAGCAGGGCATCGTCTCCTCGGGCGCCGTCACGAGTACCCTCGAGAGCGGGCTCCTGGCGCAGGCCATCGAGGCCGTCCTGGCCCAGCATCCCGACGCCCAGCACCCCGACGTCCGGCGCAGCGACGAGGCCTTCCTCGCCGCCGTGCTCGACGGCACCGCGAGGCCCTTTGCCCACAACGCAACCTGGGCCGCCACCCAGCCGCTCGACCGCTTCTCCCTCGCCCGGTCCATCGAGCAGGCCGCGGCCGCCGGCGTCGCCGTCTCCGACTCGGCGCGCGCCGCCTACACGGCCATCAACGACTCGCTCGCCCTGCAGGTCCGCAACCCGGACGGCGGCCTGTGGTACTACGTCTACCCGCACTGGAGCTATCTCGACGGCATGTTCTCGCTGCTGCCCTTCATGGCCAAGGCCCCGCGGCGCAACGAGACCGACATGGAACTGCAAATCGCCCTGCTGCAGGCGCACTGCCGCACCGCCACCAACGACTCCCTCCTCGTCCACGGCTACGACTGGTCCCGCACCGCCGTCTGGGCCGATCCCGTCACCGGAGCCAGCCCCTATGTCTGGGGCCGCTCGCTGGGCTGGTTCCTCGCCGCCATGGTCGAGACATACCATCTCCTGGCCTGCCCCGACGATGCGTCGGGAAAGCTCTGCACCCGCATCCACCACCTCGCCAACGGCATCTCGAAGTCGCTCGTCGACTACGCCGATGCCGCCTCCGGTGCCTGGTGGCAGCTCACGGCCCTGGGCGGGAGCCCCGGCAACTACCTCGAAAGCTCCAGCACCGCCCTCTTCATCTTCTCCTTGCTCAAGGGCCGCCGCATCGGCCTCCTCTCCGCCGCCGGGCCCGACTACAGCAAGGTCGCGCTGCGGGCCTACGACTACACCGTCGGCAACTTTGTCACCGACGTGGGATGCGCCAACGGCACCATTGGCTTCGACAAGACGGTGGCTGTCAACAGCCTCAACTCGACCGCGTCTTACGACTACTACATCAACCGGCCGATTATACCCAACAGCCTGCTCGGAGAGGGAGCCTTTATCCTGGCTTCTCTCGAGGTGGAGAGGCTTCACGGCGCGGCCTGTTAAAAGGGGAGTTGACCGTGGCCGACTTCGTCCTCGTATACCCCTGAACAAGGACACGATGCCGTCTCCTCTCAAAAGGTCACTCACTTCACCGACGGCAGCCAGGCGTGACAATAGACTCATGATGTATCTAGACCCTGATCATCTAACTAAAATGGCGGTATGCATATCAAGGTCTACCAAACACATACTCACGCTTGCCACTATAATACACAGCCCAAATTAATCATCCATTACGCTCCCCCAGTCTTTTTCTCAGATGTTGGCCATGATAAGCATGTCCCCTGCCGGTTCGCCGCGCCGAAAGGGCCTTTGCCCGAGTCTCCGCCACTCCGAAATGCGCGTCGCAGTAGCTTCACTCACCCCCGTCTGCCATGCACGCCATGCCCATCGCGCGCTTTATTTGGCGGGCTTGCGACCAACCATGAGGTACATGGGGGTGAAGAGATGCTCACGTCCGCCAGCAACGAGGCAGTCGGCGGCGAGCGCCAGGCTGTCAGCCGTCTTCTTGGTGCCTGCCGGGGCCACTCGCAGCGTCTCCAGGAAACCAGCCAGGTTGTGGGCAATGGTGCGGCCCCATCGCGTCATGCGCACAATGGTGAAGATGTCACCGACGGATTGGATGTACCGCATGTCGCCAGACAAGGGCCAGTACCACGGCAGAGGGTCGGGACGGTCGGCAAGGTCCTCGTTGCGCAGCAACTCGAAGCCGGCCGTCTTCATGGCGTCGAGGGCCTCCGAGATCTTGCACATGTTGGAGATGCCGTCGCCCTGCTCGATGCCGAGGCGGATCTCGCGGTGGTGCAGGTTGTCGTTGTCGTAGTCCTCGGTCATGAGCCATTCGTAGACGCCAAAGACACCGCCCGGTTTCAGGACGCGGAAGATTTCACTGTAGATGCCCTCCAGGGTGGGGGCGTGGACGGTGGCCTCGATGGCGTAGATGGCGTCAAAGGAGTTGTTCTCAAACGACATTTGCTGTGACGGACATGATGAGCGCCTGAATGGATGAACAAGAGAAGGCATCTGAGCTCACCATGAAGTCGCCCTTGACAAACTTGAGTTGGTCAGACAGTCCCTCCTTGGCGGCATAGTGGGTAGCACGCTCGATCTGATAGTCGTTGTTGTTGAGCCCGGTGATGTGGGCGCCCGTGAACTTGGCAATTTCACGGGCAGGGCCACCGACGCCGCAGCCGACGTCGAGGACCTTCATTCCCTCCTGGATGCCCATGCTATGGGCGAGGTAGTGCTCGTGGCGGGCAATGGCCTGGTAAAAGGGCTCGCCGGTGGAGAAGCGGCAGAAGTGGAAGGATTGGCCCCAGCCGTACTCGTAAAGGTCGGTCGCAAGATTGTAGTAGCTAGAGGGGGGTCGAGGTGAGAAGCGAGGTCCAAGGCCCAAGGACAGGGCAGCAGGACTTACTGTCTCGTCAGAGTCGCGTATTCGGCTGTCCGCTCCTGTTCCAAGCCGTCAGTCGCCTGTCCATGGTGTCACAAATTGTCGAGCTCACAGCGCGCTGCTCAGGCGTCTCGTCGGCGGCCTTTTTGTTGTCCCAGTGCTTGAAGTACTCGTCGACGGCAGCCCTCTTGGCATCAGAGCCCTTGGAGAACATGGCGGCGATGCCACCGCGAGCCTGGGCCGACTTGCCGTGCATGGCCTTGTTGAAGGCGGCATCGCGGCGGTGATCCTCGCGCTCGAGGCTGGACATTTTGGAGGAGGACGGAGCCATGTTGAAGCTATCGTGGCGGACAATAGCTGGCGCGGAGAGAGAAGCGGCTGTTGAAGCAGATGAGCAGTTGCGAAATGGATGCGCGGCGACTCAATGGCAACGAGCAGAAGTGGCTCTTTTTAACAAAAGAGGGTCTTTTTTTTCACATGCTGCTGCAATCTGCAATGCCCCTGAAACTGGCCTGGAGGCGGGGGCGGCATGCATTGGCTTGGCAATCTCCAGGACGCGGCCAGAGCGGCGCACCATCCCGCCCTGAGTCGAAAAGAGCAGGCGGTGGGACCGGCAGAATGCAGTGACACGAATACGAACTCGAACCCGAAAGGCAGCACCGCCACCGACGCATGATTACGAATAGCCTTTGCAAATCTAGGCAGAGAGCGTGACTCTTAGGTCAGCAAACTTTATTTCCCCAGTCTTCTTTAGACGACGCGACGGACCCAGATTGAAATCCCGGCGGCAAGCTCCAACATCCATCCAAGTCGACGAAGAAGCACCCTGTCACTGGCCCCACGCCTCTTGCCTCCAGCTTCCTCGGACGCCATGCCGCCCCAAATCAAGCAGGATCTGAACCGCTCCGGCTGGGAGTCGACAGACTTCCCCTCCGTCTGCGAAAACTGCTTGCCTGACAACCCATTTGTCAAGATGCTCAAGGAGGATTACGGCGCCGAATGCAAACTCGTAGGTCGCGTCCCGCTGCTTCTTCAGGGTCGTCATGCTAACCTCCCTCCCTAGTGTACCAGACCTTTCACCGTATTTGCCTGGAACGCCGACCGCGCCCAGGGACGCAAGAAACGCACCAACATCTGTCTGACGTGCGCCCGACTCAAGAACTGCTGCCAGAGCTGCATGCTCGACCTCTCCTTTGGCCTTCCCATCGCTGTGCGAGATGCAGCCCTCAAAATGGTCGCTCCCGGCCCCCAGTCCGACATTAACCGCGAGTACTTTGCACAAAATAATGAAAAGTTGATCGAGGAGGGCAAGGCGGGAACCGAAGAGTACGAGAAGACCGACGACAAGGCCCGCGAGCTGCTACGCCGCTTGGCAGTCAGCAAACCATACTTTCGCAAGGGGAGGACCGTTGACGAATCCGAACTGCCGGGGAGCGGTGCCACAGGTGGTAATGCTGCCATGGGCGCAGGCATCGGAGGACCAGGGCCTATCCGAACACGAGATAGCCGAGCTGCCGCGGCATTCGGGGCCCGGCCAAGGGGCGGCAAGGGGCGGCAGGCCTTTCCCAGTACAGCCCAGCTACCTCCAAGCCCCAGGGACTGGCTGCCTCCCGACGATCAGAACATCATGTCCATGTTCGTGACGGGCATTGAGGACGACTTGCCCGAACACAAGCTTCGCGAATTCTTCAAGACCTACGGCAAGATCAAGAGCTTAGTCTGCTCTCACATGTCGCACTGCGCCTTTGTCAACTACGAGACGCGAGAGGCGGCCGAGAAGGCGGCGGCGGCCTGCCAGGGACGTGCCGTCATTGCGGGGTGCCCCTTGCGCGTACGATGGGGTCAACCCAAAGCTATCGGGACCATGGACAAGGAGCAACGGACACAGATGCTACGAGACGCGCGGGTTCCACGGGAGCAAGACAGGACTCGGCATCAGCACTCCATCGAGGGCGGTGGACCCGAGGGTCAGCCCAGCGCGCCCGTGGTGGCCGCGCCTCCTGGGGCGGAAGACCAGCCCAACTATGCCAGTCTCGCTGGTGACTAGGCCGCTTATACGTCCTCTGCATCATATTCAGTATTGTGTCGGTGTATGGCGTTGAGCGGACTGGGGCTGGGATCTGATTGTTTACTCAGGGACAGATGATGGAGAATAAAAGGGAAAGGGGAGCTGCGGATATCTTTGTATCATTGCATCAGGTGTAGGGTATCACACAAATCAAAGGGACAGGGTCTTCTTTTACAAAATTGTTGTACAACCGGCTTCATCTGCATCCGCATCCTCCCATGGCGCTGTCCGATCCAGCCGTGAGTATGCTTTCGTTGTCTCCTCTCTCGGTGTGTTCGTGAATGCGAAGCTCTATCATGGTATCTCGTGTCAGCACACTTGACTCGTGATTATGTCCGCGATCAAAAGAGGCAGATAAGACCACTAACTATAAGTGTCGTCTCGGCCTTCGGCCTTCCTCCCCTGGACGACGTTTTCGCGCAGGATCCTGGCCACCTGCTGGGCGTGCTGGATGGCAGCCTGGGCGTCGGCGCTGGCCGAGTCGAGTGATGACTTTTGCCGGAACTCGTGCCGGATCTGGCTCTGGGCTGCGGCGAGGACGGGGGCATCGCCTGGGGGTTTGATGATACAGCCGGTCAGTACGCCTGGAGGAGATTGTTTGGGGAAGCAAGAGGCGCGGACCTCGGAAGGCAATGCGCGTGGCGCGCAGAATGTTTCTGTAGGCAACCAGAGCCATGGTGAAGAGCTGTGGCGTGGCTCGAGGAGATAAAGAATCGAGATGATGAACCTCGACGACGACTTGCCTTCTTTCCAGCTTCTCGATGGCGGAGCTCAAGTTTGGCCGTCTTCCGGGCTGTTCGAAGTCCGGAGCGGATACTCCGGGGCACCTACTTTTCGCCCCCGATCAAGCGTCTTCTCAGGTACCCTGTGCCCCACCGGAATTTGAGGCTGGGGAGAAAAAAAACTCCAGGCTCAGCTTAGCCACGGACCCTTTCTCTTCGTCTACCAAAGCCACCCATTGCACATCACAGAGCGGCGAGAGACAGACGCACTGCAACCATGGCGTCGGCGGCACAACTCACAATCACGCTGCCCGTCCTTCCCGGCGGGTGGAGCGCCGAAAAGGACTTCAAGGCCGTCGGCCGTCTCTCGGGCGCCACGCAGCGAAGCATCGAGCCCGTCGGCCCTCACTTTCTCGCCCACGCTCGCCGCTCGCGCAACAACCGCACCTTTTCCGAAGACGACCGCATCCAGGCCCAGGAGAACGCCAAGAAGATTGAGGATGGCGACGAGAGCGACGCCAGCGAGGCCGAGGACCCCATGATGCTCCAGCTGCAGGCCAAAGACTGGAAGGTCCGTCGAGCATCGTCAGTAGGCCTTGAGACCAATTGCTGACTTTCCCTCCAGACCCAAGACCACTACAAGGTCCTCGGCTTGTCCAAGTACCGCCACAAGGCCAGCGAGGAGCAAATCAAAAAGGCCCATCGCAAAAAGGTGCTCAAGCACCACCCGGACAAAAAGGCCGCCCAGGGCCACACCGAGGACGACCAGTTCTTCAAGTGCATCCAAAAGGCCACCGAGGTGCTACTCGACCCCGTCAAGCGGCGCCAGTACGACTCGGTCGACGAGGAGGCCGACGTCGAGCCCCCCACCAAGAAGCAGCTGCAAAAGGGCGACTTCTACAAGCTCTGGAGCAAGGTCTTCAAGTCGGAGGCGCGCTTCTCCAAGACGCACCCCGTGCCCACCTTTGGCGACGCAAAGTCGGCGCGCGAGCACGTCGAGGACTTTTACAACTTTTGGTACAACTTTGACAGCTGGCGCTCCTTTGAGTACCTCGACGAGGACGTGCCCGACGACAACGAGAACCGCGACCAGAAGCGTCACGTCGAGCGCAAAAACGCAAACGCCCGCAGGAAGAAGAAGGCCGAGGACAACACGCGCCTGCGCAAGCTGCTCGACGAGTGCTCCGCCGGCGACGAGCGCATCAAGCGCTTCCGCCAAGAGGCCAATGCCGCCAAGAACAAGAAGCGCCTAGAAAAGGAGGCGGCCGAGAAGCACGCGGCCGAAGAGGCCCAGGTCAAGAAGGAGGCCGAGGACAAGGCGGCGCGCGAGGCCGAGGAGCGGGCCAAGACGGACCGCGAGGCGGCCAAGAAGACCAAGGAGGCGGCCAAGAACGCCGTCAAGAAGAACAAGCGCGTTCTCAAAGGGTCCGTCAAGGACGCGGGCTACTTTGCCGGCGGCGGCGACGCGTCGGCGGCGCAGATTGACGCGGTGCTGGGCGACGTGGAGCTGGTGCAGGGCAAGCTGGACCCCGACGAGATTGCGGCGCTGGCGGGCAAGCTGGGCGGGCTGAGCGTGGCCGACGACATCAAGGCTGCGTGGAGCGGCGAGGTGAAGCGGCTGGTCGGGGCCGGCAAGCTCAAGGACGGCGAGGCCAAGTCGCTGCAGTGAGCGTGGCCTCGATCCTGGTCCGCCATCCTGTGTGCGTTTCCTTTTAGATTTACATGTCTTGTTTGCTGCTGGCGGGAGTCTTTACATGTGGCCCTCGTCGGCCATTATGTATAGGTCGGGTTGATAGAGAGCCCCCTCCAAAGGGAGGCGCATAGACTACAATATGGTGTCATGGATATACTGCCAGCAAGAGACTGTCTTTAACGTTGGAGTAGTTCAACGGCTTCGGTCGAGAAAAGTCTCATCATACGGCGATTGCGATTATCTATCATGTCATGGCCAGCATCCTCGGCACCACAACTGCTAATCTGCGTCCAGGTATCGTAAGTGCTTGCTCCCGTCCACCATCCGTCTGTCTATCTATCGGGCGTATATATATGTGTGTATATGGCCATGCATGCTTCAATGAACAAGTACAAGCACCTCTGTAACCCTCGTGCTTCATTCGAGGACAACCACCGCCAACCAACGCGATTTATTATCCGACCCAGGGTATGAGAGACGGAAGAGCGAGAGAGAGGCGGGGTGAGCAAAGGTAGAGAAGACGCCCATGAATCAATCACGGACAGAGACGGCCAGCGCAAAAGGAGGCTTCAGGAGGCCTCGCGGTCGAGCGACTGGCTCAGGACCATCTGGTAATACAGCCCCCTCTGGGCCACCAGCTCATCGTGCGTGCCCAGCTCGGCAACGGCGCCGCGGTGGAAGACGGCAATGGCGTCGGCGTCGCGGACGGTGCTGAGGCGGTGGGCGACGGCGACGGTGGTGCGGCCGGCGGCGGCGCGGTCGAGGGCCTGCTTGACCAGCTTCTCCGACTCGCTGTCGAGGGCGCTCGTGGCCTCGTCGAGCAGCAGCAGCCGCGGGCGCCGCACCAGCGCCCGCGCAATGGCGATGCGCTGCCGCTGGCCGCCCGACAGCGAGAGCCCCTGCGGGCCGCAGGGGGTGTCGAGGCCCTGCGGGAGCGAGGCGATGAAGTCCCACACGTTGGCCGCCTGGCACGCGGCCACGACGGCGCCCTCGGCCGGCTGCTGCTCGTCGCCGTCGCCGTCGTCGCCGCCGCGGCCGCCCAGGCCCACGTTGTCGCGGATGGACCCCTGGTACAGGACCGGCTCCTGCTGCACCAGCGCCACGTCGCGCCGGTACCGCCGCCGGCCGAGCCCCCGGACGTCCCGGCCGTCGGCGCGCACCGTGCCGGCCGTCGGGTCGTAGAAGCGCTCGAGCAGCGACACGACGGTCGACTTGCCGCAGCCCGACGCGCCCACCAGCGCCACCATCTTGCCGGGCCCGACGTCGAGGTCGATGCCCCGGAGCACCCGGTGCCGCGGCCGGAGCGGGTACGCAAACTCGACGGCCTCGCAGCGCACCTCGACGCCCTGCGATGCCGGGTCCTCGGCCTTATCGCCGGTGCCCTTGCTGGCCTTGTCGTGCCGGGCGGAGGAGGAGGAGGAGTCGGGCTCCTCGTCGACCAGCTCGAGCTGGCGCCGCAGCCCAAAGATATAGTTGATGGCGGTGCGCGCCTTTGTGATGCTCGTCGTGTACTGGAAGAACATGGCTGTCGCCTCGCCGGCAAAGACGATGGCCATAAAGACGACGTAGAACTGGCCGTTGGTATACTCGCCCGTTGACACCAACCTCCCGCCGTACCAAAACCCAAGCGCCATGGCGAGAAACGAGAGGGACTGGCTAAGGGAGTAAAAGAGCATCTTAAAGCCCAGCTCGCCGACGGCCTTGACCGCCAGGCCCTGCAGCCCCGTCTCATAGCGCTCAATGACGGCGTGCTCTAGAGCCAGCGACGAGACGGTGCGGATGCCCATGACGGCCTCGGCCGCGACGCCACTGCTACGAGCAAAGCGCGCCGCCGTATCGCCCTCGAAGCGGAATTCGAGCCGGATGCGGACATAGCCTGCGGCCACGAGCACCGGCAGCACGCCCAGCGAAAGCACTAGGCCAAGCTTCCACCCATAGGCAATGGCCAAAACGGACGACGAAATTAGGTTAACGCCGTTGACGGCCAGGAGCGACACGTTCATCGATAGCAGCTCCTGCAGCGACGTCGGCTCTGCCGCGATGCGCGACACGAGGGCGCCCGTCGAGTTGTCGGGCCGGTCGAAGAAGCTCATGTCCTGGCGGAGCGTGTTGTTGAAGACCTCGGTGCGGTAGTGTTTCATGACGGTCTGCAGGAGGATGTATGTGTTAGCAGATGTTTGTATCCCCCTGTGTACGGCCGAGCATCATGATGGAGGCGAAAAGGGGGTGAAAAGGGGGGACCAGCGTGGACTCACCTGGGCCAGCACATTGGCATACCAACCGATGAAGAAATAGGCGATAAAGTTGGCCAGCGCAGCGATAAAAAACATGAGGGAGAAGAAGTTGCCGCGCGCCACGTCGACCGTCTGAAAGGCGTCCAGGGTCTTGGAGAAGAGCACGGCCAGCACCGGGAACGTACCGCCGCCCACGACGGCGCACACGACCGACACAGCCATCGGCCACCACAGCGACGGATGCTCCCCGAGGACGAGCACCAAGCCGTGCAGTAGCCCGTACTGCCGACCGGCCGCCGGGCCCGAAGCCCACGCGGCGCCGGCAGCAGATCCGGCCGCCGTCGAGACCTGCGTCAGCGCCACGTCGAGGTCCGCCGGCGCCGCGTCCTTGGCTTGGACAATTTCTTCCTCGTCGTCGTCGTCGTCGTCGTCGGACTTATCTCCCGCCTTGCTTAGGTCCTGCGCCTTGACGAGCCGGGCATACACGCCGCCGCGCTCGATCAGCTGGTCGTGGGTGCCGCTCTCGACCGACTCGCCCTTGGCCATGACGACGATATTGTCGGCGTCACGGACCGTGGACAGCCGGTGCGCAATCACCACCATGGTCCGGCCCCTGGCTACGTTGTTGAGGGCCGCCTGTACAATCTTCTCGGCGTTGGGGTCGAGCGCGCTTGTCGCCTCGTCGAGGAGGAGCACCTTGGGGTCCGAGATAATGCTACGCGCAATAACGATTCGCTGCTTCTGCCCGCCAGACAGCGAGGCGCCGCGCTCACCAATGTACGTCTCGTAGCCCTAAGTCTCGGGTAAGAATATGTGAGCAAGGGGACGGGATAAGGGGGGGCTGAGAAAGGAAGGGTCTCTTACGTTGGGCAAGCCCTCGATAAACTCGTGGGCATAGGCCGCCTTGCACGCCTCCGTGACCAGCCTTGCCTTTTCTTCGTCGGCAAGGCCATTCATATCCGTCCCCGTAAGTCCATCGACGACGTTTTGGAAAATAGTGCCGCTAAAGAGCGTCGGCTCCTGCTGTACTAACCGCATATTCGTCCGAAGCCATTGCAGGTTAAGGTCGGCAATCTCGTGGCCGTCGAGCGTGACGGATGAGCCTGCCTCAAAGGGGTACCAGCGCTCAAGGATGCCAAAGATGGTGCTCTTGCCGGAGCCACTGGACCCGACGAGCGCCGTCGTCTTCCCCGCCGGCACGTTAAGGTCGAGCCCGTGTAGGATAGGGACGCCGGGCCGCGACGGGTAGGCGAAGCGCACGCCGCGTAGCCGGATCTCGCCCCTAAAGTCGGGGATGCGCTCGCCGTCGCGCGAGAGCGAGTCGGTGGCCGACTTGCGGTCGATAGTGGCGAAGAGGTCTTGCGCCGCGGCGGCCGCTTTGGATATGGCCACGGTCTGGGGAGCCACCTGGGTGAGAGCCTGGGCGGCCACGAGGACGGCGAAGATGACGCTGCGAGCGAGTCAGGGGCTTGGCCTATAAGGGGCACTCGAGGATGGACAACTCACGTCACGACGGTGCCCGGGTTCTGAATCTCGCCCGACGCATACATCCTCATGCCCTGCCAAAAGGCCAGCGCATAGCCAGAAATAACGCAGAAGAACTCGACGGGAAAGAGGATGGCGTAGACAAGCGACTTCTTGTCCCCGATCCGCTTAGCACGATCGAGAATAGCCTCAAAGCGGCGCACCAGGCCGGGAAAGGCCCAAAACGCATGCGCGGTGCGGATCGACGCAATCGCCTCCTCGGCCAGGCTACCGCTCTCGCCGTAGATGTCAAACATTTGGTACTCAAGCCACGTGTCGCGCGCGACGCAGGCGACGGTGACGACGACGTTGAGGGGCACAATGGCCAGCACGATGAGCGTTAGCTTCCACTGCACCGCAAAGGCGACGATAAAGGCCGTGATAAAGCTAGCCATGGCCTGGATGGTAAGCCCGAGCTTCTCCGAGATGCCTGTGTTGATGAGGTTGCCGTTTGTCGTGATCTGGCTCGACACGGACGTCGAGGGCGTGTCGAAAAAGGAGATTTCCTGCCGCAGCAGCTGCCGCACAAAGTCAACGCGCAGCTTCTTGGTGGTCCGGATGGCCGTCACGTTGACCAGCACCTGTTGCCATGGTCAGTATCTCCATCTTTTCCAGTGGCGACTGTAAGAGGCATTAGGATAGATGGGGAGACGCTGGGGAAGGGGGGGGGAACAGGAGACATGTGTAGCCATACCGTCCAAATGTACGTCAGCGCAAACTTGGCGATGAAGATGTACACGAAATACAGTCTGATGGAGCCGTCAGTCACAGAACAGGTCAAGGCGAGGAGCCACGCAGGCAAAGCATACGAAAACCGGGCCACCTCGGCGCGGTAGGCGGCGGGCGACAGCGTGCCCGTGGAAAAGTCATTGAAGACGTTGACGAACTTGCCAAAGACGACGTCCATGAGCGGCAGGGCAGTGCCCGAGGCGATGATGCAGACGAGGGCGCCGGCGTTCATGAGCCAGCCCTTGGCGTCGTTGTAGGTGAAGACGCGCTGTGGCGGAGCGTGCGGTCAGGAACATGGACATGGGAGGAAGAGTGGCACTGATTCTTCTCTCCGTCTGTGTTTTTCTCTCCAAGGCCGGGAGACGGGAGAGGGAACGGGGAAGCAAAGGGACAAGATTGAGAACATACCACCAGGTAGCGGAAGCTCGACGACGAGTCCTGCCCGCCGGCGGCCTTTCCCCCATCCTCCTTTGCGTCCTCGCTGCCTCCCTGCACAGACGCCGAGGGGGACGTCGTGGCCACTGCAGGTTCTGTGGCGGCCATGAGGCCATGCTCTTTGCCCTGTTTACTCGACGGCATGGCCGAGTGTGTTTTGGCTGGTGCCGGTCTCTCTCTTGGCCTCGAGAGAGCAAGCCAGAATTGTTTTCCAAAAGGAGATGTGGTTGATAGGAGCCGTCAAGGAGTCTGAGTTCAACTCGATAGCGGTGGGGGGGGCTGCTTAAGGCCGTGCTGGCGTTGATAACCGGGGAAGTGCAGAGCGCGACTTGTGTGTAACCAATATATAGAAGAGCGGGAGGAAAAATAGAGACAGCTAGGTCATGGCATGTTGTTGGCTGTGCGCATCTGAGCAGCCGAAACGGGACGGGGCGTTCAGGGCCGGCGGAGCCGGTGTGTAAGTCTTGCCCACGAACTCGCTGCCGCTGCCGCTCTCGTCTCGCTACCTCGCTACCTCTCTGCCTCTATCTCAGTTTCGCTGTCCGTCTCAGTCCGATGCTGCCCATTCTTCCATGTCCGCGGCCCAGCTCAGCCTCCGGTCAGCCATGTACATACAGTATGTACGAAGGTGTAACCCGTGTCCGACACGAGCCCACCCAACCAATCCCCAGCTGGAAAGCGCGCCGACGCATGGACCCAGCCAAGGCTCGCGTGCTGTGCAGCCCGGCCGAGTCGAGGTCGGGGTGGGGAGGAGCCGCCGCGCCGCGGCCGGCGAGGCCATGTTTGGGGCGGCCCCGTTGCAGTTGTAGCAAGAAGAAGACTTGTTTTGTGTCCACATGGCGCCAGGGAACCCACCGCCGGCTTTCCTGGTCGCCTGTTTCCCGGCAAGAGTGGGTTCGCGTGTGTTTCACCGTCTTGCCGGGCTGTCTGTACATGCGTGCTGTGGCAGCAGCTGAGACGGCGGGACGGGACGGACAGGCTCCTCGTCCTTGACCGCGTCCAACAACCAACCGCCCAGCCGGCGCCAGTGGCGCCGGCAGTGCAACGGCGTGACTCGACCATATTGTCAGCAGGCGGCTGGGGGCAGGGGGAGGGCCATCGAACCCGAGGATCGAACCCAAGGATCGAACCCGATGATGGCCGACAATAACACAGACAAAAAGGAGCCGCATCCGGTCCCCGTCTCCGCCAGTCCTCCGTGTCGTCGCCTCCTCCGCACCATCTCCGGAGCAGGCGCGAGAGCCGCAACTACTGGCTACATAGCCGGCTCTGCCCGCCCCTGCTCGGCACTTTCCCCTCGCCATTTTCCCGATTCGTTTCGTGTGCGCCCATCTGATTTGCCGGCCGCCCCGTAGGCCAGCTCGGCCCCCGCGGCGCCCGCGGCTTCCGGCGCCGCCGTATATGGGCGCCTTGCTGCCCCGGTTCCTTTTTCCCGCCCATTCTGTGCCCGCCCGTTTGTCTAGACGTCTGCACCCTGACGCAACCCAACGTGCTCGGGAGCCAGCCAGCCAGCCAGTGTCCCAGCTCTTCGGGTAAGCTGCTTTCCCCCCGGCGTATGTGTGCACTGTACCTACTCCGTACAGGCCCCCTGGTTGCTACTTACCCGTAGACAAACACGCCCTTGCTTATCCACCTGCCACGAGCCGAGCCTAATGCAGAGGGACCGACGACAGAGGCTGACTCGGTGGCGGAGGCGATAGCAAGAGCTTCGAAGGTGTGACTCTCCGGCCTGGCCTTGGCCAAAGAGAGGCCCAAGAGTCAACGAATCGGCCTGGACCGACGTCCGCACTCTCTCTCCTCCCCTCTCGTCCGCCTGCTCCTCCGCCTGCTCCTCCTCTCCTTCTCCGCGGGCAACAGAGCCACAGGCCCTGCTTGATGGACACGCACGCAACGCCACATCTCATCAACAAGGGACCCGAGGCTTTGCGTCAACGCCCAAGCCCTTTCCTCGATTCCACCACTACCTCGCCGCGGTACATCCACCTACCTCGTCCTCGCCCCTACCGTCTGCCGTACATACATCCCTTCGCCCTCTCGCCTCTCCCTCTCTCTGCCTCGCACCACCGATGAATCCACCCCCTCTCCGCCACGTATCATTCCCCTTCCGTCACGCCCGCCTCGCCCGCCTCTCCCCGGCACCTAATAGCACTCCCCCCCGGCCCGGCCACCATGCAGAGCGATCCCCAGGGCTTCGCTTCCGCGGCCGCCGACGATGCCGCCGGCCGCAGAGCTGTAAGTCCACCATGGCATTTGCTGTTGCTGTTCCCCCGTCGGCATAGACCATCTGTACATCAACAACCGTGCATGCGCATCGCCCTCTCTGCCCTTTAACCTCTTGCATACATGCCCACTGCATACATACAATCATGCCATACGTGCCATACATGCCTCACTCTCTCTCTGCCTTTACCGTACACCACATCACAGACATACGCACCCACCCCCCTCCTCTCCCCCCCCTCTCCGGCTCACGGCAGAGAGTACATACCTAGCTGAGCTTAATGCCGACCTGGCCTTATCTATGTTGCCTTTGGTTTCTTCACACCCCTCTGTCTTCATTGTTACATCCCGTGTGGTAACTCACTCACTCGGTCGACCTTGGGACGTGCCCTGACCGACCCCCTTTCTCTCATGACACCCCCGAGGCCTCGCTCGCCATTCCCTTTCCATTGCCGCCTTTCCCGTCCTTCCCGTTCCTGGACTATCCACCCCTTCATACCATGATGCCATTCACACGTGCGCTAACTCAACGCCTCCTCTCTTCCTCCATCGCTACAGTGCGACCAATGCCGGCTACGCAAGGTACTTTTCTCTCTCTCTCTCACTCCCCGTCTCACTCGTCGCCATTGAGACACGGCCAGTCCGCTGACGTCGTCTGCTCTCCTTCTCTCTAGATCAGATGTGACCGCGATTGGCCCTGCGCAAATTGCCGCATTGCAAAACGCGCCTGCTCCTCCACAGGCCTCGGCCAGCGGCCCAAGGAACCGCGTCAGCGAGTCCTCATCTCCTCTCAATAGTTGGTCTCTCCGTTCCTTTTCTGTCTTCTCGTCCCCCCCTTTGTGGTAGGGAGTCGGCGGGCGAGGTCATTGCTTTCCATATTCACGTAACTGGCACTCATCTGTCATGAACCTCATGCTCACTCCTGCATCAAAAACCCCTCACCTCTCCTCACTTACACCGACCGACGCCCATCACTTCCATCGCCAACATCCATCTCTACGTGCCAGCTTTGCGGCAGTCCATCTTGGCGCATCCGCCGTCATCTTTCCCGATACATCTCCTGCTGACCTTCGTCACCACCCCTTTCCCAGTGAGCGCAAGATAGACCAAATCGAGAACCGCCTCGGCAATATCGAAGCCCTCCTCAAAACCATCGCCTCGCCCATCGCCCCCGTCGACCATGGCCGCGTCGCCAACACGCCCGGCACCGGCTGCAGCAGCAGCATCCCCACCACGGCGGCCTCGACCACCGCCGCCGACTTCGAGAGCAGCGACGAAGAGCCCGCCTTTGCCGGCGACTCGGGCCTTACCGCCCAGACCACCTTTGCCAGCGAGTTCCTCGAAAAGGCCGTCCGCAGGACTTCGCTGCGAGAGGTGAATCCCAAGATGGAGGCTGCCTTTGCAAACCTCCGCCAGCTCGTCGAGATGCAAAAGCTCCGGTCCATCAGCCACGGGCCCCGGTTCCCGCTCCAGAAGCCCGTCCCTCCTGGTGGTCTTTGCAAGCTGCCCATGCCCCCCATGCCGGCCGTCGTCGCCCTGCTCAAGCATGCCAAAGGCAAGTTGCCCTTCATGTCGTACCTAGACGTCTTCCTCCGCGACTTTCTCGTCTCTTGCTGTCCTCCCCCTTTGCTGACTTACTTCTGGCTTTAGCCGCGCCCCCGACTCTCTTCACCGTCATGTGCGCGCTCGTGGGCCTGTCCGACTTCGCCAGCCTGTGCCGCCTCGTCTACTTTGCCACCGAGGACTTCTCCGACGCCACCTTCACCATTGTCAACGCCATGCTGTACAATCTCTTCATGGAGCAGCACGCCCTGGCCACGGACCCCATCGTCCGGGATGAGTATCACGCGTACATGCAGCAATGCCGCGCCAACCTCGAAACATGCCTGGCCAACACCCCACTCTTCCTCTCGGCAAAGATTGAAAACGTCCAGGCCCTCGTCCTCGGGGTAAGCCGGGCTTGGCCCTCACTCCCCTCCTCTTCTGGCCGGAGCTGACCATGAATGGCTTTCCCCCGCAGGCTCTCTATGCAATCGACGTGTCGCGCCCCTCGGTGGCCTGGCATCTCAGTTGCATGGGGGCCCAGTTGTGCCAAGCTGCTGGCTATCACCGTTCCGAGACCCTTAAGCACGACCCGCCGTCCATGTCCAAGCTCAAGCGCATCCTTTTCTGGCACGTCTACACCCTTGACAAGGGTCTCGGCCTGAGGCTGGGACGCGCCCCGGTCATCAACGAGTGTGACATCGACATCCCCCGTGTCTTTGAGTTTGACAGCTGGGGCCTCGAGTCGTGCACCATCCCGACTCTGTGGGTCAAGATAAGCCACCTCCAGAGTCGCATCTACGAACAGCTGTGAGTCTCAGCCGAGCCCCCTTGTCTTCACCCTGCACCCGTCTGAGAGCGACAGGCTGAGTTTCTCGTGTGCAGATATAGCCCTGCTGCTCTGGCATGCCCACAGGCAGAGCTGGTCGCCCGGGCCCGAGTCTTGGCCGAGGACTGTCGAAAGCTCGAGGTCGAGTCCGAGGACTCCCGCGAACAAGTGTACAACTATCTCAAGGCTGTCAACTCGTCCGAGATTGTTGACGTCTTCCTGCGCGGCGACGAGGTCCAGTTCCAGGTAACCCTGACCCTCGTCTACCGAGTCATTCCCGCGCCCGAAGGCTCCGTCAGCCGCTTCTGCGACGAGTGCCTCGAGGTGGCCCGCAAGGCCATGCAGGTCCATCAGCGATACGCCGAGTTTACGAACCTGGGCAGTTACTTCCGGTCCATCTATGTCCACTGGTGAGTCAGGATCCCGAATGCTTGTCAAAATCAAGGATTGAGTGGCTGCAAACGCTGACTGGGGCTATTATTACCTCAGGAACCTATTGCTCACCCCATTTGCCCCCTTCTTCGTCCTATTCTGCTACGTCATAGAGACGTCCTCACTCGAAGACCTCAAGCTCCTCCAAGACTTTGTCACCTCACTAGACGGATCCCGGGACACATCCGAGACAATTGACAAGCTCTACCGCCTCACCCAGGTCATGGTTGACGTTGCCGGCCTCTACGTCGAGGCCAGGACGCAACAGCAGGACGACCAGACCATGGCCCCGATAGGCGATGAGTTTGAGATGTACCTGAGCCAGTTGGGTTTCATGCCGACGGAAGACCAAACCCTGGCTGACGCACCCAGTAGTCGGGGGCCCCCGGGCGTCAATGGGCAAGTAGCGCAGATAGCAGACTGGTTTTCGGGAAATCGCAACATGATGGGGCTGCTGGAAGAGGATTTGTCACGTATAGAGTCATACCGATGGATGCAATAGCCTGCGGGGAATGCAATGGACTTGGACGTGGAATCGACCGAACATATTTCGTCGCGTTGATACCTTGTCTGCTTCTGTTCCAATCGTGGCATTGCTGCAACGCACATCAGTCCGTAGGATACCGAGGATCGTATCGTTCATAGCCCTCGTCCTCGGTGGAGCTCTCATCGGGGGAGCTGTCTTTTTTGGCAGGGACAGGTTGCGTCGGTTCCACTTTGGCGGCTGTCTTGGTATCCGCGACGGCAGGTTGAGAGTCCTTGGAAGCAAAAGCGCTCTTGAAACCGCTCCGCTTGAAGCCCGGTTTCTTGGCGGTGGCGGCAGAAGTAGACTGCTTGTCCTTATCCGTGAGCTTGATGCTGATGAGGCCATCCGCCTTGGCCTCGGCCCTGCGGGCACGCGCCCCGGCATTTGGGTCGCGGACCATGGCCTTCATGTCCTTGAGTCGTTGCTTGTGCGTGTGGTCGTAGCTGCTGAGGTGCGCCTCGTAGTCGTTCATGCGCGAGTAGCCCTTGGAGCAGAGCGTGCAGTAGAAGGACTTTTGGGCCTCGCGCGCCGACGATGTCTGCGGGGCAGGAAGAGTTTGATGTCGCTGGAGCGAGGTCAGCTGTGACGAGGTCAACGGAGGTCGAGGGCCGGGGCGGCTCACAGGAGGCATGGTGACTGGATGCCGGTGCAACACAGAGGGCTGCAGAAGTTCTTGAAGATACGGGACAGGTTTTTTCGTTTCGGCCGAGTTACTCGTCGAAGGCTTCTGTTGGCGCTCCTGTGAGGGTCTTGGGTCGCCCAAGTGGTGATTTGTGGCTCCGACGAGGACGAATGTGAAGATGGCGAGAGGAATGGAGAATCCGAGGCTGCGAGGGGGCATCAAGAGGTACCGAGGTACTTTGGGGGGGAGCCAGCGTTGGAAAAAGGCAGGTACGTACTCCGTACCTCGTCTCCATACCATGTCCACCAATCACAATGGCGGTTGACTTGCGGGCCCTGTCGCCTGCCACTGGGGTGCAGGCAGTTGGATGCTGACGCGCGCCACGGTCAACGACTGACGTCCCCTGTCGCATCGTCGCCCATTACAGCACTGCAGGCCACGATTGGTCTTTTGACGACGAGTCCCAAAGCCCAACTCGGAGCCGGGCATCAACCAATCTTGCTCATCCCCCAGGTATACTCACGCCGCCGCCGGCCCAACTCCCCGCCCTTGGTTCAAGTCGCTTCGCTCGACTGCTTCGCCGCCGTCGGTCCCCAGCCTCTTGGGCCTCTCCAAGCAACCATGGAGACGCCCGGGCGTTTAGAGCGTCGGGACTCGCAGCAGACCTTCGTCTCGCTGCTGCAGCTTGACCCGTCGCCCATGGACTCGCCTCGCGAGGACAAGGAGCTCCCGCCGCTGCCCCCCGAGGCACTCGAGAGCACCTCGAGCCCCGTCAAGGCCGGCGCAACCGCTGGAGCCCCGGGGTTAAGCGGTGGCCATGGCGCCATATACTACCGTACGTATTGAATCTCATGTCTTGTCGAGAAGCGCAGCATAAACAACGGCCTTGGTAATGACACGCCTCGGCAGTAACGCGTGTGCAGCGATATTCAAGCTACGCCGTGTCCATCTTCACCTCGCTCCATCTCGCCAACGTCTCGCTCATCCCACTTGCCACGCGCTCCGTCGCCGGCTCTGAAACGTACCTCCTCATGACGCGCGAAATCTACCAGACAGCCATTGCCGAGCCGCTGCTGGTGGCCCTGCCCGTGGTGGCGCACATCGGCTCGGGGCTGGCCCTGCGGCTGCTGCGGAGGTGGCAGAACATGAGGCGGTACGGCGGAGGCACGCCCGGCATGTACGCCCTGCACCGGCGCATGCAAGGGAACGAAAAGCCTGGGTCCAGGGGCGTCCGGCTGTGGCCCCCGATGAGCTACATCTCCATTTCGGGCTACGCCTTTGCCCTCGTGTACTGTGCGCACGTCTTTGTAAACCGGGTCCTGCCTCTGGCCGTCGACGGCGACAGCTCCAACATTGGTCTCGCCTACGTGGCCCACGGCTTCGCCCGGCAACCCGGCGTGTCTCTGGCTGCGTACTTGGGTTTGATCGGCGCGGGGTGCGGCCACATGGTCTGGGGCATGGCCCGATGGCTCGGACTCGCCCGCTCGACGCGCGGATGGGCCGGCAGGAAGGGCGTGCTGGTGGACGGGCAGACGAGGAAGCAGCGGCGGCGACAGTGGATGGGGGTCCACGGCGCAGCGCTAGCCTTGGCCGCTTTGTGGGCGGCGGGCGGGCTGGGAGTCGTGGCACGCGGTGGAGCGGCGCAGGGCTGGATTGCAAAGATGTACGACGATCTGCTCGCGAGAGTACGAATGTGACGAGTAAGTTTTGGCCGAGACAGAGATGCAGAGGGAGGTCGGGGGACAGACCCATGGACAGCTGAAAGAGGGCAGCGCTCCAAATGATGAATCACGGAGGGAAGTAAGCAGTCTTGCTGACGGCGTCGTTTACGGATACTCGGTACAGTTTGGTGGATTATGATGGGCGAACTCGGGACTGGAGTTGGGGCTTGGATGGGCTGATGGCGCCATAATGGACTCGACTGGGTGACTCGGCTGGGGTGACTAGGATGTATAATACCTGCTTTTGCCATGACACGTGGATATATTGCCAGATTATCGTGCTTGCTATGCCCATTTCATAGTGGCGGCGGCCGTGTTGCGCAACGGCTCGTCCCTCCCTACAGACAGACAACCGGTGGTAGAGGCACGCATAAGCAACTCTCGCGTCTGAGCGCGGAGAAGCGCAAGAGTCAAGCGCAGGGGCCTTGGGAGATGAGGCCATCGTAGCAAGGAAAAAGGGCCCGAGACATGTCGGCAAAGAGCAGGGACCTGGTGCGACAAGGCGCGAGGTGTTGAGTGCCCGAACAATTCAAGTCTGCCGGTCACTATGCCCGAGGCGCCACAGCGGCCGGGCCCCCTGTGCCTTGGTTCGCGGGACGGTGCAGCATCGGGGGCGCCACCTGATGATTTCGGCTAGCGATGCTGGGAGCTGCTTGGTTGTCGTTTTTTGGTTTTGGTTTTGTTCTTCCATCAACTTTGGCTTTGACTCGCAAGGGTGGCCAGAAACAGCCCCTGCGGTCAAGTTAATCACCCCGTCTCCTACATGTCGTCCATTTCCCCATAGCCGGCGCTGGCGCCCGCGTGGGCTACTAATAGTTGCGAGACCAAAGTACCGTCCATCAGCCGTCGGCAAGTAGGCCACCACACGCAGTTAGCCCGGGACAATGCTCTTCCGCCAGCGTCACTCCTCCAGCTGCATCGACCGCTGCTGCTCCCCGCCACCAACAATCTCACCACCTGCCTCGACCGCCGGCGGCCCCTTCACGAGACCATCGGGCGGCACAGTCGACTGCTCGCCATGGCCCTCAAACGACGCATCTCTCGCCGTCAAGCAGCCGACGACGACGACGACGGCGAAGGCGACGGCGTGGATGGCCGTTTGTTGCCCGCCAAGCGTCACCGTCTCGCGTCCCACGACCTCATTTCTACCCTCTCCGACGAACTGCTCGTCCGCATCCTGGCCTTCCTGGACGAGCGCGTCCTGCTCGCCATTTCTCCCGTCTCCAGACGCTTCCATCGCATCACCTCGGACTCGCAGCTCTGGCGGCCCCACTACTATCGTCGCTTCATCCTCCCCCGCGCCCACCGCATCCCCGGATTCCGCGCTGGGGCCACTGCCGCCTCCACCTCCCGCCAACCCTCCATCCCGGCCGACCCCGAATGGGAACGTCGCCGCCGAGGCTTCATCGACGCCGCCGCCGCCGCCGACTCGTCGGCCGCCCTTGTCCATCAAGTGGACTGGAAGAAGCAGTACAAGCTGCGCCACAACTGGGCCCGCGGCAGATGCGCCGTCGATCAAGTCCCTGTCCACGGCGTCGACCGAAGCCCGCCTCCCGAGTGGCAGACCCTCGTCAAGGTCGTCGAGGGACTCGCCGTCACGGCCGATGGCCAGACCGGCCTGCGGGCATGGGACCTCAAGACGCGCAAGCTCATTGCCCAGACAAGTCTCGTGGCCGCCGGCGACGTGCTCGTGTCGCCCACCTGTCTAGCCGTCGATGACCAGCGGCTGGCTGCAGGCGTGCTGGACATGTCGGCCGGCTTTCACGACGGCACCTTTGGCGTGTGGAGGCTCGACGTTGAGCAGAGCAGACTGACGCTGTTGTTCCGGCAGACCAAGAGCTACCTGGGGCACCTTGTGGCGATAGCTTACCGCCACCCGTACGTCTTGACGGCCACGAGCCTAGGATTCATTTCGCTCTACACCTTTGACTTTTCCGACGACGACGACAAACACTGCTCCGACCCCGATGCGACGTCCGCCGAGTCGATGCGGTCCAGAGGCATGGCCGCAGAAAAGAGTACCGGCGACGCACTTCTCCCCGCGCCGCACCAGCTGACCTCGCTCAAGTCGCACAGCACGCGGCTCCCGCTTGCCCTGTCCCTGCGCAAGACGGCCACTTCGGTGGTGGCCTCGATTGTCTACACGTTTGACGGCGTTGGCGGCTGGGCCATTGGCATTCAAGACTTGGACATTCGCCAGCCAGCGGGACCATCAAGACCTGACGTGGTTAACTCGAGGGTCGCCTACACGCTCCCGACGCAGACGCGCAAGTCTGCGACACCCTCGGCCGAGTCGACGCCCGCACGCTCACCCGGCCAAGTCTTGGACTCGGGCGAAAACGGACCCATCCGGCTCTGCTACAGCCACCCCTACCTGCTAGCCACGCTGCCCGACAACTGCATGGTGCTGCATCTCTGCACCTCGACGGCCACCTCGCTCACCATCTCGCCCGGGATCCGCCTCTGGGGCCACACGTCGGGCATCTCGGACGCAGAAATCACCCCCCGCGGAAAGGCCGTCAGCGTCAGTACCCGCGGCGATGAGATCCGCCTCTGGGAGCTCGAGGGCCGCGTCGGCGGGAGCAGCGTCGAGGTCCGGCCCCGGCCCCCGACCGATGGCGCAGGCGACGCAGTCGACAAGAACTTGTGGTTTCCGGACAATACTAACGTGACGGACAGGAAGAACTGGGTCGGGTTTGATAACGAAATGGTCGTTGTTCTCAAAGAGGCCGAGGACGGCAGAGAGAGCTTGGTCGTTTACGACTTTACCTGACCCGAATCCGTGTTTGCCTTGCTGCCTCTCGGCTGTAATAAGGCTTGAGGGATATTGTGGGCCATGCATGCCTGCTTGGGAGACGTGGGGGCGACGCAATCTGGGCATGGTCTTGTGTGCAGCAGAGTCGCTTGAGCCGGGACTCTGTGGGCTCATGACCCGCGCGACCTTTTACGGTGGCTGGCTCCAGGCTGTGTCGCGGTTCGCAAATGGCCAGTACGACACACGATACGGCCCATTGACTAGGGAGACAAAGGAATGGAAACGACACTCGGGCTCCGTGAACAGCGATGAGACACGCAGAACGACGGCCACTAATGGACAGGGTCCAGTGAGTAAAAGGATGCCAACGAAGGCAGCCGAGCCATTGTTGGGTCAACTCATTTCGCCCCCTGCTTGTCCCGTCTTGAGATGATAAAGCGGTAACTGTCGTCGGCCGCGCCAGCCAATCTGTCAAAGGTGGACAGCTGCCTAGGTGTAAATGAAGGAATAGACCAAGGGAAAGCTGTGGGAGCCGGGGCGTGCGTAGATGGAGGATGCGCCCATTTTACGGCGGTAGTTTTCCCATGGCTCAACTTCAGGTGCCTCGTCCAGTTCACAGTTCGCGCTTTATCCTACCTAGGCGGGGACTGGTCTTTGATATACGCACTAAATTACCCCTAATTACCATGCCCTAGCCCCCGTTGAAGTACTGGTCAGCGCATCGCCGCCTGGGATGGCGACCAGTAACACCAGAAGACCAGTCTCCTGTCCATATATGGTCCAATTGGCTCGAGGTATGCGCGATCCCGGCCATCTGGTTCTCCTGGTCTCGGCCGGTTGTCTGTAAAATAACTAGCCTGTTTAATTCCACGGCACCAAGTCCATTACAACGGTCACTCTTACCCCCAGTCTCCTAGATGGCATCGTTTGCTCACTCACATTCGAGACAACCATCGACCCTGTCTAAGTTCTTCTTGGCAGCCGGCACCGAGACAATCAAGTTCGAGCGGTATTTGACCAAGTCATCGACCTCGACATGCCCTTTAAGCCTCTGACAAGGTTTCTTCGGAAGGGGGGGAGGCCGTGCCAGGCTACCTGGAAGGCGCCCATCGCCCATCGAAATCGCCTGGACTTGAACTCGTCGGCATTGAAATACATGACCGTCTCGTAGCCGACAATGGAATCGTTCTTGACCGCCTCCGCCTCCCCGTCCGCGTTGAGCAGGTTCCTACGCTGGTCCACGCTGATGAGGAACAGGCACGAAAATGTCATGATGGAGACGCAGACGGCGACACGGAGATCCAGAGGATGAACATCTTGGGTGACAAAATCAACCAGTTCAGCTTTGCACCGCCACGGTGCTCTGTGGGAAACCGACGATGCCCATCAGCCGGCGGACAGGGAGTTCCACCGGCCCGCTCACATCCAACGTCTCGACAGCCAGCCTCGTCGACCCGTTGCGCCGCGGTGGTTGTCCACGAGGCAGCTTGTGTCGGCGGGCAGGAGCAGTCTGGTCTGCTTGAGAATAGTGAGCTTGCCGGTGCCTTTATTAAAGAATAAATATCTACTTACTATAATCGGAAAAGATTATTGTCGGAAAACGCGGTTGTCAGTCATATGTGTCAATTGCAGCGCACCTGTCGGAGCGCGCGTTCCACTTTTGCCTGCGTGGCGCAATGGTCTTCGCGACAATTATAGGGACTAATCTTTTAAGAGGGAGATATAGTCTGCCTTATATAACGAAATATTAAAATAAAACAACTAAGTAATAAATTAGATTTTAAGAAACTTAGACCGTTTAAGGTTAAGAAAACTATTTTAAAAGTTAAATACGAACTTTCGCTATTAATAATAATACGGATATACCTAATATTTTATATCTTATTATTAGATTAGCGCTATAAAACGTTAAACTATAGGAAAAAATTAAAGTTAACGACGATTAAGAATATAAAGTAAAATAAATACTAGATATAAGAAAATATAGTTAGTAATAAGAATACCTTATTAAGTAGAAGGGATATAGACTAAAGGAAAATACTTAGGAACTACTTAAGTACTTAACCTACTATAGCTCTCTACTTTAATAATTTTACTAGAAGGTTTAGAAGGGATTAAAGGACTAAGATCTATAAACTCCTCGCTAATACTAAATAAGGACTAATTTACCTCGTTAGGAACGCCTAATAATTATAAGTTATTTACTACTTAATACTTATACGTATTAAGCGTAGGTAAAACGCTATCCTCGGTATCTACTTCTTAGATACTATAATAAAATAACTTAGAACTCTTTTCCTTTATATAATTCCGAATCTCCTAAATATAAGCTAAACGATTAACGGTAAATAATTTAAAAAAAAGGTTTATAAGCTATACTTAAAGCTTTAATAAAGCTTCCGTAGCTTCCTCCTCTTTAGAATATAGCCTACGCTACTCCGCTAATAATCTAGTTACTAAAAGAAATACGTTAGCTACTACGTATAGAAAGAATTAAAAGATACCTATAAGAAGAGGCTACTAAAATACTATTATAATAAGGATAACTACTAGTAATATAATTATTATAAGGCAAAGAATTTTCGGCTATTTAATAATTCGTCTTCTTTACCTTAAAGTATTAAGTATATAGTATATCGGTAGGATCTCTACTTAAGTCGATATATTTAATAAGAGTAGCGCGCTTAGAGGCTTTTTAGGAACGATTTTTTAGTATATAACTAGATATACTATTAGTAGTATATCCTAAAAGGATAAAGAAATAAGGAACGATATACTTATATATAACGCGATAAGGGTATATTTATATACGGTAGCTAAGGTAGCTATAGTTATCGCGAAGCGTAGCTTAATTTCGTAGTTCTTAGAGATATCCCTTAGTATAAGGGACTAAGGAAGCTAAAAATACTTAGTATAGAAGAAGGAAGAAGGAGCTAAAAAGAGGTATAGAAAGGAGGGTAAGGGTTTAAGGGGAAGTAGAAGTAGTAATAGCTTCCTATAAAGGTAGCGAGAAATAAGACGGATATACTAATAACGGCTAGAAAAGAAGGGTATAAGGGAATATATATTATAGTACGATTAGTTAGGTAGTAGAGATAGCTAGAGGTACTACGCTATATATATTATATTCTCCTTATTATAAGACTAAAGCTTATAGGAAGAGGGATTTTTTTCTTCTTTAGTTAAAGTAGTAAGAGGTCTATAATATATAAGCGGGGTAGGCACGATTCCCTACTAATACCCTACTAATATATTAATACTATATACCTAAGTACTTTATTAGCTTATACCTCTTAGTAGCGCTCTTATAATTATCTCCCCTCTTATATAGATATCTTAGCTATATCTTTAATATATATTACTTTCGCTTTACTATATATATTTAGTTAGGAAGAGAGGTAGTTTCGGTTATATATTATATATATACGCCTATATAAGTATACGTTAGTCTATACTCTATAACGTTAATAGTTATTATACTAGCGGTTACCGCTAAGTAACTATTATAGTATCGCCTATATATTAGCTATATAACTATAATATAAAGAGCGTATATATATATCTCCTACTTCTTTTATTTTCTTTTCTTCTTTAACTCTTTCGCTTATAATTACTATAGAGTTTTACGCCTTTTTTTATTAATCCCTTATACCTTTTTATATTACTTTTTATTAACGATTAATTAATAATAATACCTTCTATATTAAAGAAGATAAAGAACTATAACGCCGATTTCCTATACTATATATAGGAGTAGGTAGCGGCGGGTTTACCTTTAAAGCGTAAGCGATTAGCCTAAAAGTCTTATAGCGACGCTAGTTCTCCCTTAGCGAAGAAAGCTAAGAAAGGTATAGGGGAATCCTAGTCCTAAGAGACTTCTAGTTTAAGACCTAATATTAGTAAGGGTTATGCCCTTATTACCCCGCTAAATACCTTAACTTTAACTATCGATAATCCTACCTTTATAGGCTAGGAAACTTATAAATCTATTACCCCTATTAGTAATACTAATACTAGCGAGGAGATCGTACCTAGGCGCTCCTAGGTAAGTACCGATAACCTAGCTACTCTATCTTAATAGGGCGGCTCTAGCTAATAAAAGATCGTTGCCTAGGCCGCTCCTTAGAATAAGTAGGCTAATATTAACGATAAGGCTTAGCTAAACGAGGGCTAAAATAATCTTAATACCTAGCTAAATAAGGGCTAAGATAACGATAATAGTAATAATAAAGACGGCCGCGATCTAACTCCTCTTATTAATAAACCTAAGAACGGTAGCGCTAGAGATAAGGGTACCTAAGTAGCGGTATAAGGCGGTCGCGCTTCTACGAAAAAGCATACTTAATCTAAAGCTAAAGCTTACTTAGTTAAGGCCTATAAGGTTATCCCTTATAAGCTTTAGTATATATATTATTTTAAGATAGTCGTTAAGGAGTATAGTATAACTAAGCCTAAGCTTATTAAGGTACTCTTAATTAGCTATATTTTCTTAGGGGTTTCCTTAACGCGCTATAAGTAGTACTATAGATATACTACGACCTATAACTAAGTAAGTTTCCCCTTAACTTTAAATATTATAATTAATAAGCTAATCCTTCTTAAGGCCGCTACTCTTATATCTAGTAACTAGGCTAATATAGTCGCTATTATTAAGTACCTATATAAGCTTAATAAGCTAAAGACCAGTAATAAAGATACTAAGGATAATAGCTTAGATGTAGGCGTGCTTATTTTTAAGGAGGCTAATTAGCGCTATCTCGCTATTATAGTATAGTATTTAGCTAAGGCTTTCGACGCCGCTAAGACGGCCTATTATAAGTCCTTTAGGACTATAGGTATATAAAAGTCTACTATTATAAGTTTTATCTAACCCTTTTATTAGCGACCGCCTAACGATATACTAAGTTAAGCGTGCCGATAACTATACGCTAATTAATAAGCGCTATAAGCTTATTATTTACCTTAACCCCGCGCCCTTATTCGATATCGCTTATATAAGCTTAAAGTATTAAGCCTAGGAATCCTAGTTAAAACTCTACTTTATTAACGGCGATATAAGCTATACTTTATAGTAATACGCCTTACTATTTACTAAGGCCGAGGTAGGTGCTATACTAATAGAGATAGGTCTTAATATAGAGGATAAGGAAGGAGCGGAGGATAGGGTAGTTCTAGTATTTTTAGAGGTATTTAATATAGTAAAGGGGGCGCCTTAGTTAGTTCCCGCTATACCGGTAAAGAAAAGGGGTAGTTAAAAGTAATAAATAGGTCTTATCTTTCTTTTATTTAGCTATAACTATCCTTCTCTCTTTTATTATTAGGGTCTTAGTAGAGTTATAGTTTAGTTTTATTTTCCTTAATAATATTTAATAAGTAGTATAGATAGTTTTCCCTTATTCTTTTATTTTACTATTTTATATATAGTTATAGGACGTTTAAGCGTACTAATACGTTAATAGGTTAGTAGCGATTTAGTAGGGATTTATTACCGATTTAGTAGCGTCTCCCTATACTAGTAGGTTTCCCTACCTTACTTAGTCTTATACCTCTTTCTCTTAGTTAGGCGAGTAGTATATTCTTTAATAAGGTCTTAGCTATTCGCTATATCTTTAGTATCGACTTATTAGTTATACTTAGCTAGCTATCCTTTTTATTTAATAAGGAAAAAGGTATTACTCTTAGATCTTTTTTAGTCTTTAATCTCTTAGACTTCCTATTTACCTTCGTTATCCTCTAAGTTTAGTATTAGTAGGGTTTCGCTATCTTTATAAGTGCCTTTTCGCTCCTTTTATAGCTTTAAGAGACTAATATAGAAAACATTATAAAAGCGTAAGTACTTCTTAAGGAGTATAAGATAATATACTTACTTTTTAATAGCTTATAGGACCTAAAATAGTCTAATATACTTAGGTAAGAGTTTTCTTTTTTTATCTTTAAGGCGTAAATTCTTTATCGATAATACTATAAGGTCTCTTACTTTTAGTATAAGCGGTTAGTGCCTTAAATCGTAGTATTTCGCTTACGATTTAATAGCCTTTCTTTAGTATTCCTTAAGCTTCTTTTATAGCTCTTATAGCCTAGTAACTCTTACTCTTACTTTAGGTACCCCCCTTTAAATAATATCGTCTTCGATATTAATATAAAAGTTTAGTTAGTAACCTATTAATACTTTATTAGGTAATAACCTAGTTATTATATTCTTTATATTATTATATATAAATTAAGTAATATATAGGAGTAACGCTTAGTTAGTTTATTTTAAGTTAGTAAAG